CCTCTCCCGGGCTCCTTCCCGACTCCGGCTCCCCCTCCCGCGGGCTCCCGCCCAGCCCCGGGTACCCTCCCCTGGGCGCCTCCCTCCACCTCACCCCTAGCGCTCCTTTCCTGGCCGCCTCTGCACTCTAGTCGGGTGTTTTGGGGTTAAGGATCCTGCGGGCCTCCTGGAGGAGTCAGCCAGAAACCGGGTCAGAGCGCCAGGCTGGGCTGGGAACACCCAGGGTGGACTCCTACGGTCCCGTGGGGACAGACATCGGGAGAGGCCCCACCCCCTCTGGGATTTGCTTTACACCTCTGTGGACATCTGTGGAATGGGCTAGGGACTTGCCCTCTCGCAGCCTCTACTTGGGTTAGTTACTAGCTTCTCTGTGCCTCAGTTTCCTCATGTGTATAATGGGAGGATTATCAAAGGGGTGTGTTTAGAGCAACTGCACTGCCTGGAAATAAAATTCACACATGCGGGTTCATAATAACCAGCCTTCCCTGGCTGTTCACTATTAACAATCCCGGGTCTGGCACAGAGGGAGGGCTGGAGTCTCAAAGTAACTTCCTCCCCTAAAAGGGGCCTTTCAACTCTGTCTCTCTCTGAGATTGGAAAGGCCTTGAGTGTTGACATCAAAGGTCTCAACTTCCTGAGCCCTTGGATCTTGAAGCCCTAAATCCCCGCCTTGAACATTCCCTGGTTGTGGCCAGAGATCATTCTCAATATCTTAGGAACAGGGGCTGAGAGTCATGGAAGATTCCAGACAGAAGCAGGCTAAAGCCCAGGGCGTGGCCAGCCTCTGTTTCCCCACTCAGTAGGGAAAGGGCCTTTCCCTGGGGTCAGCAAACCTCTTTCGAAGGGACGTCGCCTGGGACTTCTCCGTCCTACCTGAGCCTGGCATGCCGTGAGCCCTGGCTTGGCAGCACGGCTATTATTTTTTTATTTCAGGCTATCGTCAATGCCCTTCAAGCCCAGAGAGGAAACACCCCTCTCTGGTCAGATGCCCCTGGCTCCACCATTCCATTTTTAACCCCCTCCCCATGACGCAAGGGGGTGGAGAGAAGGAGGGGGGATAGACAGCAGAGGGAGCCTGGCCCTGCCCTCCCCCTGCCTCAAGGACAGGCAGACACCTCCAGAATTAGCCTCGATTCCTCCCTTATCTCGATTCCTCCCTTATCTCTCGCAATACCTCAGGTCAGACAGATGGGGGTGGAGGTGACATTTCCCACCTCCGGGTCAGGGCAAAGAGCCCTGGAGGGAGAAGGTTACTCAGAAAATCTGGTGGGAGTAGATGGAATCCCGACACCCAGAGAGCTGCAGAGGAAGAGGGAGCCCAAATCCTGACCCCCAAATCTGCTGCCTGGGAGACCTCTAAGCCTCAGTTCACCCCTTCCTCTCTAACGCCTAAGTGCCCAGCCCCGCGAGCGTCCCAGAATCCAGCCCGCGTTGGGTTAGGGTTATCCCGCATTCTGGAATTCTGCCCTAGATTCTACAACGACCTCAGCAAACCCCAGATACTGCTACCACCACCCCCCCACCCC